TGAGCTTTTACCTGAATTCTTATTCAAACAAAACCAATAAAAAGCCTCTCTGGAGGGGGAATGGGTCGCTTTCCCCACCAGAGAGAGTGGCCATTCCATTCCTACCTCTCCATAGGACCTGGTTGTCTCTGTGTATGTTTTTAGAATGTTTTGACAAACATATGCAGCCAAGATGGATATTGCTGGCCGGTATCCTCCACAATGTTCCTCTCTCTATTTTTTCTTCTCAAAGCAGTTCCCTCAACATTTTTTGCAATGTTTGCTTGGTGGTAATGAACTCCTTTAACTTTTTTTTTTTTTTTTTTGGTCTGTGAAGCTGTTTATTGTACCTTCAATTCTAAATAACTGTCTTGCTGGATGGAGAAGCCTTGGTTTCAGATCCTTGCTTTTCAATGCTTTGAATACTGAATGCCGATCCCTTCTGGCCTGTAGTGCTGTTACTGAACCCAACCAGTAGGGGGAGGGGCTCCTACTGTGGGCTGCCAACCTAGCAAATCTGCAGACAGGTTGGTGGAAAGAGAAGGAATCTTTTATTTAACAATTATAACAAAGGCAAAAGGGGAAAAACCCAAAAATAGTTACTTAAATATTTATAATTATCATATAACTTGAAATAATGGCAAGTTCCTGCCTAAAATATCCAGGTAACAAAAGTAAAGGGAAAAGAAAAAATTCAGAATATGACATCGAAAATAGCTATTTAAATATGTGTCATTTCAACTACTGCATAGGTTAAGAACTGAAAAAAACAAACACAAGAACAAAAATCTGTTTACAGTGCTATCATCACCAAGGTCTTTGGAAATAATGGCCAGCTTCTGCCTGAAAGCTTGGGTATCTCCTGAAAGCTTTGGGTATCTCCTAAGACACCCAAAGAAAAATCGCCCTGTCACCCTCTGTCAGCCCAGTTCAAGGTTGCACCAGGAACCTCTTTTCCCAGCCAAAACTATCGTAAACGTAGTGGCTTAGCTGGTTCCCAGTCACTGTCCAGCTTCAGGCATCTTTGGAGTCTGTGTGTCCAGGCCTCCCACCCACTGTGCGCTGTCCTCTTCCCACCATCGCTCACAGACCCGCCCTCCTGGTGCCCGTCGGCCCGCTCCCGACCAGAGGAGCGGCCTGGGAACTGCTCGGGGAAACAGGTCTGTGCAGGGCCTGCGGGGGCCTGCCTCTGACAGCCCGCACTCCGCTGAGCTGCCAAGCCTCTTCCCCTTCCCTCTTACTATCCCTGGTGTCCAGAGCCCAGGAGGAGCAGATTTTCCGCCCGCTCCTCTTTTTTTAGATCAACCTCTCCCCGCAGGATCCCTTGCATGCCCGGGAGTGCCACGCCCTGGCTGCCAGGGCGATTCACACATGTGCTGCTCAACCCCTCCCCCGTTTCTGAGGGCAGGGTCCTCTGTTACAATGTTTCTGTTGAGAAATTGGCTGACATCTTATGGGAACTCTCATGTAGGTAATTAAGTGCCTCTCTCTTGCTGCCTTTAAGATTCTCTGTTTTTCATATTTGCATGTCAGTTATGATGTGTCCTGGTGTGGGTCTCTTTCGGCTCATCCTGACTGGGACTCTCTGTGTCTCCTGGACTTGGGTTGACTTTTTCCTTCACCAGGTCAGGGAAGATCTCCGTGGTTGTTTCTTCAAAGAGGTTCTTGATCCATTGCTCACTTTTGTTCTCCTGGTATCCTTAGGATGCTGATGTTGTTACATTTCATGTTGTCCCAAAGTCCTTTAAACTGCCCTCACATTTTGTAATTCTTTTTTCTTTTTGCTCCTCTGATTGAGTGATTTTTTGGTTTTTTTCACCTAGTCTTTCAATTTGCCTATTGGATCCTCTGCTTCATCCAGCCTACTGTTTATTCCTTCCAGTACATTCTTTATTTCAGATATGTTACTCATTTCTGACTGGCTACTTCTCATGGTTCCCATGTCCTTTTTACTGCTGTTGAGCATCCTTATAACCATTACTTTGAATTGTGTATTTGGTAGATTACTTGCCTCCGTTTCATTTAGCTCTTTTTCTAGAGAGTCACCCTGTTCTTTCATAAGGGGTCTGTTTCTTTGTCTCCCATTTTGTCTGTCTCTTTGTATTTGTCTCAGTGTAGTAGATAGATCTGCTCAGGCTCCTAGTCTTCATGGGGTGGCCTTATGTAGTAGGCAGCCTGTGGAACCCAGTGGTGTGGTCACCTTGATCTCCTGAGCTGGGTGCCCTAGGAAGCTCCTCGCGTGGGTTTCATGGGCCCATTTGTTGTCATTGAGCCTTGATCGCTCTTGGCCTGTTGGTGTGTGGGATCAGCCCTCAGACAGGCTGGCGGTGAGGCTCATCCCTGACTGTGGTGTGAGCTGCTGTGCAGGTGGAGTCTCGACAGTTTCTTCTGCAAGTCCTTGGTTATAAAACTCCTCTTCAGCTGTTCATCAGCTGGTCTTTCATGGTGACTGTTCCCCAGTTTAGCTGTGTTTCCACTTGGTTCTGGGAGGAGGGGGACACAGGATCTACCTACTCCACCGCCATTTCTAAAAGTCCTGCTGCATATCTCCTGTTAGATTTACTTCTAAGTATTTGGTATTGCTATTATACTTTCTTTATTTAAATTTTATTTTCTAACTATTTGTGGTTAGAATCTCTAAATACACATGAGCTTTGTATATTGACATTTGGCAACCTTGCTAAACTTACAAATTTCTTTTTTTTTAATATATTTTATTGATTATGCTATTACAGTTGTCCCATTTTCCCCCCTTCACACCCCACCACCCTGTACACCCTCTCCCACCCATATCCCCCCTTTAGTCATGTCCTTGTGTCATACTTATAAGTTTTTTAGCTTCTACATTTCTCATACTATTCTTGCCCTCCCCCTATCTATTTTCAACCTACAATCTATGCTACTTATTCTCTGTACCTTTTCCCCCTCTCTCCTCCTCCCACTCCCCTGTTGCTAACCCTCCATGTGATCTCCATTTCTGTGGCTCTGTTCCTGTTCTAGTTGTTTGCTTAGTTTGGTTTTGTTTTAGGTGTGGTTATTAATAATTGTGAGTTTGCTGTCCTTTTACTATACATGTTTTTTCTTTATCTTCTTTTCTTAGATAAGTCCCTTTAACATTTCATAAAATAAGGGCTTGGTGATGATGAACTCCTTTAACTTGACCTTATCTGAGAAAGCACTTTATCTGCCCTTCCATTCTAAATGAAAGCTTTGCTGGATAGAGTAATCTAGGGATGTAGGTCCTTGTCTTTCATGACTTGGAATACTTTCTTTCCAGCCCCTTCTTTGCCTGTAAGGTCTCTTTTGGAGAAATCAGCTGACAGTCTGATGGGAACTCCTTTGTAGGTGACTGTCCCCTTATCTCTTGCTGCTTCTAGGATTCTCTCCTTTGTTTTTACCTTGGCTAATGTAATTATGATGTGCCTTGGTGTGTTCCTTCTTGGGTCCAACTTCTTTGGGATTCTCTGAGCTTCCTGTATTTCCTGGAAGTCTATTTCCTTTGCCAGAATGGGGAAGTTCTCCTTTATTATTTGTTCAAATACGTGCTCAATCTGTTGCTTTTCCTCTTCCCCTTCTGGTACCCCTATAATTTGGATGTTGGAACGTTTAAAGATGTCCTGGAAGTTCCTAAGCTTCTCCTCATTTTTTTGAATTCTTATTTCTCCATTCTTTCCTGATTGGTTGTTTTTTTTCTTCCTTCTGGTCCGCTCTATTGTTTTGAGTCCCAGTTTCTTTCCCATCACTATTGGTTCTCCGTGCATCTTCCTTCATCTCTTTTATGGTAACCTGCATTTTTTCATCTAATTTGCACCCAAAATCAACCATTTCTGTGAGCTTGCTGATCACCAGTGTTTTGAACTGTGCATCTGATAGGTTGGCTATCTCTTGGTCACTCAAAAGGATGAGTCCTAGGGCATTGATCTGTTCTTCTGTTTGAGACATGTCTCTCTCTTTTTTTGGTCTGGTCGCTCCTGTTATGGTGAGGGGCGGAGCCTTAGGTGTTCACCACGCCTGGGCACCCCAGTCGCTAGATTGTGACATTGTATGTGGGCACGGGGGCAGGGGCCGGAGGGAACTATGGCGGTAGCTCCGTTGTCCTGGGACCTCAGTCCCTTCTCTGGGATCCTGGGTTGTGCACTCTGCCCTGCTCCATAATTGCTGCCTCACTGGCTCTGCCAGCTGCTGCTCGAGTACTCAGGGTCCACCCACTGCAATCTTGTGTGCCCCAGATGCCTTACGTGCTCCCTCCCGGTTGCCTTATGTGCCCAGTTCTCCCTGTTTGACCCGCACCCGGCTGCTCATCTCTGCCCCTCCTACCGGTCTGGATGAACGGGTCTACTTCAACTTCTTGGCTGTCCGACTTCCATTCAGATAAATTCTCTATCAGTTCTGGGTGTTATTCTACCTCTAAATTGTTGTTGTTCTAATCTTGGTTGTGCGTGGAGGTACGGTGCGTCCACCTATGCCTCCATCTTGCCGGAAGTCTAAACTTACAAATTTCAACAATTCCATAGTAAATTATCTACAGTTCCCGGGTGCCACAAATTATGGCCAGGGGGCCAAAGCCAATGGAGGGCTTCTTTGTACAGGCCCCACAAGCTAAGATTGTTCTTGCATTTTTATAAATTATTGTAAAAAAAAGCAAAACAAAACAAATACAAAAAATATTGTATGGAAACTATATAGAGCCTACAAAGCTTGCCCTTTACAAAAAAAGTTTTCTACTATTCTAAATTTGCATGTTTTATTTCTTTCCTTTTATTGATTACATCAGCTAAAATCTCTAGTATAATGGTGAAGAGAAATGATGGTAAGCTGGAATTTTAAGTTTTCCCCCCTCATCTCAAAGGAGAAGCTATTAACATTTTATAATTAAGTGTGATGTTTATTTTAGATTTTTCTGTAGTGTTCTTTATTTAGAACAAATAAAAATTCCACTCTTTCTTAATTTTCTAAGATATTTTAATCAAAAGAAAAAAATCAGACAATGGAGAAATTTAACTTGCCGTGGTCATAGGCAGTTGACACAGAGGGAGAGTATCTATAAGTTAAATTCTCTTAGGAAGTGTCTTAGGCAGCATCCGTTCCCTCATTCTAGCATTGGCTCCGTATTTTTCACTGTTAGTCATTGTTTAGCCTGTGATGGCTTTCTCTCATTCAGTATCTCCTCCCTTTGCTAATCAAAACCCTTCGAAGTAGATTCTTCAAATTAAGATGTAAGAACCCTATGAAGCTTGGCTTCAAAAAACCGTGCGACAAAAGTATGCTGATAAGTTTATAACTGTGTTCTACAGTAGAAATATCAAGGAGAAAATACACTTATTGATTTATTTGTGTAAAATTTACTAAACATTTAATCAAGACTTTTGGAAGCCAGCAAAACTATTTTGACATTTTTGTGTTATTCTTAGCTGATATTTAGATTAACCAAATCATCTTAAATAGGTTATTGTAGAAAGCCGCTGTAATTTTGAGCTCTGTTTATTTGGGGTATACAAGTTATTTTTTATATACTACCTTCTCAATCTTTTAAGTGTTTTATTGACAATGCAATCTCTAACACTGCTAAAAACATGCACTAATTTTTTTGAAGGGCATTTTGTTTAATTTAGTCCCATTTTAGTGTCCCTTTAAAAATTTTAACTGATGACTCGGGGAATTCAGCCAAGAGGGTTGTATCAAAAACTTGCTTGAATTTATCTAAAAATTCATAATCAGTGCTGAATCTGAACTTGTTTGCCCAGAGCAGCACAGTCCCTGGATGGCAGAGGTACACCATGGTGCTGAGCAGCTTGTCCAGACAGTAGTGGTGGTACACCACGTCAGAGGCCAGGACGTAGTCGTAATAGAAGGTTGCCTTGGGGAAGTTTTGTTCCAGGCCTTCTCCCCACACCAGTTCTTTCACTTCAGGCAGATGCGTGACACGTTGTAGTGTGTTCTTTAGAAGATTGTACTGAAGGTTTCCTAGGACATCAGGCAAATCTGTTGCTGTGACTTGAGCTCCTAAGAGAGAAAGAGAAATGGGGTAACAATGACCTGGGAACGTTGGGGCATTCAGAGTGGACCTACACTCTCAGGAAGAAACAAGAGCAATGGAACTGGGCTTCTCAGCCCCGGCCCTGCTGACACACGGGCTGGACTTACTTGACATAATTCCACTGGGTAATTCTTTCTGGGGCGCAGGTAGGGGCTGCCCTGTGCTCTGTAAGATGTTTGGCAGTTTCTCTGGGCCCCGTTAACTAGATGACAGTAGCACCTCCCCACCCGAATTACATTTATCTGACAGTTTTATTTTTTTCTTACGTGAAGTATTCAGCAACCAGTTTTCTTTCCACAAAGGATGATCTCTCACCCTTATCTAAATCCAGTAATTAATGCTTAGGCATTTTTAAAGTTAGCGACTATTGTTCATAAAATAGATCACCAGATCAGTTTTTTTAAAAACTCCATTACTGTGTGCAGAAGTAGGACAGATTAGTGCCGCTTCCTGCCCAGGGCCCAGGAACTCACAGCCTGCACTTCGGGGTAAATCTATGCTCACCTTGGATTAACTCACTTTTTCCCCCTTCACAACGTTAGTTACAATATTTGCAATAAAAAGAAGAAGACAACACAACATAGTTATTTGCGACAGGGATCTGGAAGTCACACCTCCAAAATTTCAACTTCATCACCTGGTAATTGGTGCACCGAGCAAGTTCCTTTATCTAAGGCGCAATGATCTTATCTCTGTGGGAATTTTAGCACATGACATTTGGGGGAGATTTAATGAGTGCAGTCATGGCCAACTACCTAAACCGCAGCCTGTGATAACAACACTCATCATTGTTGTCACGGTAAAGGTGTCGGGAATAAACAAAGGCACAAACCTAGGATACTGGCCACGATGGAAACAAGGCCTGGTCCAGCACCAATTTCAAGTGTTTTAGCATCTTGAAGATTCAGTTCCTCCGTGTGTTCCTCCAAATACTGACACAAAGCCGTGGCCTAAAAAATATTTACAGTTGTCACTTGGGCACTAGAACATGGAAACCAGTAACAACCCCTATCCCTATCCCAAGCGAACTATTTTAGGACATGTCATTAAGAGTTTCAGTTCATGGAAAGGTTCATCAGAATCACAATATACATTTAATGATGTAATTAGACCTCTGGAATGTGGGAATTATAACACGCATCACAGGAAACAGTGTGTTAAACCCCTGCGTCAGAAGACTCCCGATCGGTCTCCAGGCATTGGAAGGCCAGCTTGTGTCACGAATCCGGGCAGCGAGGCCTATGGGACGGCCGCTTCTTGCTCTGGTTTAGTCACGGCGGGCCTCTGCCTGCTTTGGGAATGTTGTGTAAGTGTCTTCAACACCTCTCTCCTGGACTCTTTAAAATCCAACCGGGCTAGGACTTTTGTCTGCCACAGTGGTCAGCTGGGCAGTTATTTTTTTAAAGTGGCTTCTCTAAGAAACACTTAGACGACCAGAACAGCGCTTTCCAAACATGGGTGTGTACACGAATCATCTGGGGACCTGGTTCGAGATGCACATCTCTGTGCAGTAGGGCCTGCAGGGGGCGGGGGCTGGTGGCGGGGGCTCAGGACTACATTTCTAACGAGCCGCCAGGTGATGCCAGGGCTCCTGGTCCCTGGACCGCACTTTGAGCAGCGGTTGCAAGGAGATGTTAAAAAAAACCCACAAACATGCAAATAAATTGAGACAGCTTTTTATAAGATAGTCCCTGGGGGGAACAAGGGTAATTATTTGCAATGTGGGGGTTTTGATACTAGGAAGAAGGGGTCACGTAGGCTATCAAGAGGACATATGCTTCAGGGTGTTTTCTGAGGAGGTAGCCCTGCCCTGTGAGAGGCCGGCCCCACTGGGGTGCTTTCCAGAGGCAAGGCTTTTCTCAGGAACAGCTACATCTTTTCACATTACGAACACTCCCCAACTCCTTATTTGTAAGCTCTGAAAAGAGGTCTTTTTCACAGAGAACTGCACTGGAAATCACACAAGAAAAGGGTGTTTTCCCACTTTACGTGAACCCTTCTTTCATAGCTCTCAGGGGTCTGAGGTCCCCAGAGAGGCCAGGTTTGGTGTGAGAAAGGCTGAGGCCTTAACAAGAGGAAAACAGCCCAGTAGACAAGGGTCTTTTTCCTTCCCTAATCTCTGATACTCTTGTTATGGTTGTCTATTTGCCAAATATATTACAATAACAAGCTGTGGAGTAGTTTGGTGATTTTCACACTTGTTGTTAAACCAAAGAAAAAGAACAACAATAAAATCACAGACACAGACAACAGCATGATGATTACCAGAGCAAAATGGGGGCAGGAGGGGTCGCAGAGGGTACGGGGGGATAAACAGTGATGGAAGGAGACTAGACTTGGGGTGGAGAACACACAATACAATATACAGATGATGTCTTAAAATTGTATATCTGAAAACTATATACTTTTATTTTTAAGTATATTTTATTGATTATGCTATTACAGTTGTCCCAATTTTTTTTCTTTACTTTATTCCCCCTCTGCCCTGCACCGCCCCAACTCCAGCACTCCCCACCACCCTTAGTCCATGTCCATGGGTTGCACATTTAAGTTCTTTGGATTCTCTATTTCCTGTACTATTCTTGACCTCTCCCCGTCTATTTTGTTCCTACCAATTATGCGTCTTATTCCCTGGACCTTTCTCCATTCTCCCTGCTTCCTCTCCCTCCATGTGATCTCCATTCCTGTGATTCTGTTCCTGTTCTAGTTGTTTGCTTAGTTTTGTTTTTGTTTTTTAGGTTCAGTTGTTGATAGTTGTGAGTTTATTGTCATTTTACTGTTTATAGTTTCAGATCTTCTATTTCTTAGATAAGTCCCTTTAACATTTCATATAAGGGCTGGGTGATGATGAACTCCTTTAACTTGACCTTATTTGGGAAGCACTTTATCTGCCCTTCCATTCTAAATGATAGCTTTGCTGGATAGAGTAATCTTGGATGTAGGTCCTTGCCTTTCATGACTTGGAATACTTCTTTCTAGCCCCTTCTTGCCTGTAAGGTTTCTTTTGAGAAATCAGCTGATAGTCTTATGGGAGCCCCTTTGTAGGTAACTGTCTCCTTTCCTCTTGCTGCTTTTAAGATTCTCTCCTTATCTTTAATCTTGACTAATGTAGTTATGATGTGCCTTGGTGTGTTCCTCCTTGGGTCCAACTTCTTTGGGACTCTCTGGGCTTCCTGGACTTCTTGGAAGTCTATTTCCTTCATGAGATTGGAGAAGTTTTCCATCATTGTTTGTTCAAATAAGTTTTCAATTTCTTGCTCTTGCTCTTCTCCTTTTGGCATCCCTGTGATTCAGATGTTGGAGCACTTAAAGTTGTGCCAGAGGTTTCCAAGCCTCTCCTCATTTTTTTGAATTCTTGTTTCTTCATTCTGTTCTGGGTGAATGCTTATTTCTTCCTTTTGGTCCAACTTGTTGATTTGAGTCCTGGTTTCCTTCCCTTCACTGTGAGTTCCCTGTATATTTTCATTTATTTCAATTTGCATAGCCTTCATTTCTGCCTTAATTTTGCAACCAACCTCAGTCAATTCTGTGAGCATCTTGATTACCAGTGTTTTGAACTCTGCATCAGATATTGTCTATCTCCTCATCATTTAGTTCTTTGTCTGGAGCTTCGATCTGTTCTTTCATTCAGGCCATATTCCTTTGTCTCAGCACATCTGTTACATTGTAAGGGGTGGAGCCTTAGGTATTTGCCAGGGTGGGGCAACCCACTTAGCTGCGCTGTGGCACTGTATGTGGGGGAGGGGTCAGAGAGGGAACAATGCCACTCGCTCACTCCACTCTAGTCCCACTTTCCATCACTTCCCTCACTTCCCACAAGTGAATTGTGCCCTCTCAGGTGCTGATTCTCAAGTGGGTGGGTTTATGGGAACTCTCCTGTGACACTGGGAGTTTCTCCTGCCTTCATGACCCCATAGGATTTTACAGCCAGAGGTTTTGAGTCTTTAGTTTACTGGCCAGCCAGCCTCTGCCTTGCCCACATGGTCCACAGCCTTGCTGCAAGTCCTCTACTGCCCGGCTGCCCATCTCAGCCCTTCTTACCAGTTTGGATGAATGTTTCATTAACTCCTTGGTTGTCGGAGTTCCATGCAGTTTGATTTTCTGGCAGTTCTGGTTGTTTATTGTTTTAAATTGGTTGTTATCCTTCTTTTGGTTGTGCAAGGAAGTGAAGTGTTTCTACCTCTGCCTCCATCTTGGCCAGAGAACTATGTACTTTTATTAACTAATGTCAACCCAGTAAATTCAATATAAAAAAGAAAAGAAAAATCTTTGTTTGAAAGAAGTCACACTCATATGCATAAAGGGTAACAATGGAGCTTCCTTGGTTGAGAGGAGTGAGAAGGGGTGAAGCTCTAAGAGTGTGGAGCCATTGGCTGCCCCTCCCTCCCCCTGCTCCCCCTTTTCACTTGCCACCAGTACCCCAGATTGCCCCAGGGGCTCTCCATGGAGCCTCTAATCATGACTACACATTGCACATGCAGTTCGGGGACCAGCAGGTCTGTATCATCTGGGAGCACGAGAAGTGCGGAAGCACAGCCCACAACCCACCGTCCTGCCCCCAGAGCTCCTGAATCAGAATCTGCATGTTGACAAGACCCCAGTGTGGTTCACGTCCATGCTGACGATCGAGCTGCTCTGCCCTGGAGGCTCTCTCAGCCCAGGCTGCAGACCTGTGCCGTGGAAGGAACAACAGTGCTGGCATCCGAGGCTGCTGATCCAGCCTGGTTGTGCACCGCACCCCCAAGGCAATAGCTTCACCAGACCTTGAACTTTTCTTCATTCATTTAGTAATTCCTTAATATTAATAATATGACATTAACAATTGCAGCCAGCAGGAGGTTGGGTATATCACTTCACTGAACCCTCACAACCATCTTGGGAACTGGACACTCACCCTGCCCCATGCTTCAGATATGAGAATGAAGGCAAATGGGGGAGAAGTGAACATCCATGACCAGTCAGCCAGGAAAGAGCAGCTTTTCTGGCTCTAAATTCAGAGTGTTTCCCCCACTTTGGAGCCATCCTCACAGGGCTGTTGCTGGGAGAACACGCGATGCAGTCATGCCTCCTAAACATTTCCACTGCAGCATCCACAGTGCGAAAAGCCGATGAGCCCCCAAGGGTCTGTGGGAATGGCCCCAAAGGACAGGCTGCAAAGCCTAAACTCTCAAGATGTGATTTTTTTTCTTAACAATTCACATGAATTTTTCGTTCTACTTCCTGATACATTCAAGTTCATGTTCATGTAAGGAATAATGTTCCAAGAACATAGCACAGAGGAATATCAGTGCTTATGGGAGAGATGCTACATATTTGCGGAGCCCCAGCACACCCCCACAGCCCTGGAGGCGGGGCAGCCATGGACCCTCGGTTGGAGAAACACGGAATGTTAAAATACCCAGCAAACCGTTCAAGGCAACGCAGGTGGATGAGAGTGTTGTTATCGTCCCCAGACACCCTGCCATCCCAGCGCAGCGACCCCCTCACCCCGGGCCACACCACCGCTCCGTAACTCTCTATGGATTCTTGAACCACAATCTTCTCGCCTGCAAACCGGTAATACTCCTGAGTGTAGCTGGCATAATCTGCAGGAACAAATTTCTGGAGGCTCTGAAGAGACGGCTCTATGTTGTTAAAATCTGCGGGGCAGAAAATAAAATAGGTTGCATGATTTGTTGATCCCATGCAAATATGTACTTAGTACAATTGGTAAGAGGGAAACAGAATTCTTTCAACAGAGGGCCAATGCTATCAATGACAATGGCCACAAACTAGCACAAAACAATGACATGGAATGACAGGGACATAAAATTCAGATGTGACATTGTTAACATATGATGAAATGCCAAAGGGTGTCCCGAGTCTTTCCCTCTGTTTAGGAGAGGACGTAAAAGGCGTGGCTCCATCCCCACGCTCTGTTTTGACGACAGGAGAAAGCCAAATGGCATGAGGAAAATGTCACAGATGGGCTGCCTGTGGGAGGAAGACCTGGGCATACACGGGCCTGACTATTTTTAGGTCTTGAAGTAACATTCCCACATGTTGGCTGGAGTGTGTTCCTTAAATCCTTCCTACATCGGCTCCTCAAAAGGTACGGGTCACCCAAAGATGAGCCAGCCGCACAGTCCAGGGGGAGGTTGTCAGATGAGCTCTGACTATTAAGTTACGGCTGCTCTAAATACTTCTTTACTCCCATGACCCAGTCTGGCAGCTCTCAACTATCACATAAAATGAGAGGAAAAGAGCACCTGCTTGGAGGAGGATGTGAATAGAGGGTGAAGGGTGGTAGGTCTTTAAGGAAACCTACTCAGGAGTCCACCCCTGAGAGGCAGGTACCACAGGCCGTTTCGGGTATCACTGATTTCCACAGGCACCGGGACAGTTCTATGCTGCTGGTCTGCAGACTGTAACAGGTTTTCAGGAAGAACAGTACAGAAACTTGGAGTAAGCATTTAGAATGTGTACAATTTGATCATGTCTGTTGAATCTAATTACATGCTTGTATTTTGCATGTCTTTGCATGTATTTTCATTTTGTATCCCTAGAAATTCATTTTTGTTGTATTTTACCAAAAAAAAGTGTCAGTATGTGGCAGATTGGGAAAAGGTCTTTGCCCATCGCGTGCACGACAAGGCTAGTTTGCGAACTAGCAGAACAGATGTCCACAGCTCTCCAGAGTGTAGCCTTTGGCTACAGGTTCTGACTTAGGGATTGTCCCCCTGGAAGGAGAATTCTCGGCCCCGAGCAAAAAGATGAGCTTCCAGGGACCAAAGACTGCACTGAACTTGCTGGAATCTACTAATAAAGAGTGGCCAAGTCAGTTCTGAGACGTTGTCCTTTCCTGTCACGTGCCCTGGTTAGGGTTGTGGAGAGGCTAATCAGGGGAGGGAAGATCTATGGTCCTCGCCTACCTCCATGGGAAGCTACTGACATCCAAAAACACTAACCCAATACCTACAGGGCAGCCCTACCTGCCCTCAGAGGGCTGGGAGGCTGACTCTGAATTTGGTTTCGGAGACAATTAGAAGGCAGAGCAATAGACCGTGGTAACTGGTAAATATATGACAACCAGTGTGGGGCAAGGGGAGGAAGCACTGATTTGCATGGTTTGACAATGACTGTGGTATAAACGCTCCCACCCTGGTGACTTCAGACTACCACACAGTGTCACTGGGAAAAGATGTGCAGCAGCACACCCTGACGGAGAACTTCTGTCATCCAGCTACACTGGACATCAGTGGGCCCAAGAGCGTAGCTAATCGTCAAGTGTGCTAAAATAATTCATGATGAGTCATACTCATTACCTTATTGTTTTATATACCTTTGCCTTTTATATAACCGATTTAACTGTAAGTTTATATGACTTAAATTTCAATAGTAGCTGTGTTTAATAACCAACTCACGAAACTCCTGAAATTCGGGAGCTAGTGCAGGCCAGTCGGTACAAGGAGTCGGTAAGGGCTGTGCTTTTTCTCCAGGGCTTTCACCACAGAGTGTCTGCCAGGAGCAGCCAGACCATCAGGTCCTCACGCCAGCTCTTGCAGGCTTCCTTCCCCCACCCCACCCCCGCTACGGCCAGACCGTTCATTCTTCCCTTCCTTCCACGTGTCACCAACCAGGGACTCTCAAGACTGTGGGAACAGTCAGTGAGCTGGTTTTGAATGGCTCATCACCTCTCAGGCTAGTAAACTGATGTGCATACTTTCCTGATTCCTGATCAACAGTGTAATGAAACGTGGGCCTGTAAATATACTCCCACAAGACCCTTTTGTGTTCTACAAAGATATAGAAATTTACATTTATTGTACATTAAATATTTTCATTTATTGTATCCATACTAGCTTGATGGCTTTAGAGGGACCATGTTTTAGAGACAAGTAGAGGCGCATTGTTATGTAAACAGTTTAGTAAAAATAAAAAACACCTGAGTTCAGTAGAGTTGGAACATAATTATACCACATTAAATGACTGTAAATGTTACAAACGCTGTCTCCTGGCTTTGATGGCATTATTTGTCACATCCGCCATTTACTAACTACCATACTCAGCCCCTGTCCGGAAATGCAACCCTGTTGGTTCCATTGTCCTGATGGGGAAATACACTTGGCTTTACAAGGGTCCCGTGTATGACAGAGCTGAACGCACTTTGGTGCAAAGCAGAAACTAATGTAGATTTCATGTCTCTTTGAAAGTTCTTGTTACAAAAATACACAATCTCCGGTTTATACACAAGATAAAACAAAGTCGTGGATTTTGACAAGTAGTAAGGATGCCCACGCTTGCACAAGGGCGTTTTCCTACTTGGCTTCATTATATGAACAGTTTACATGGATAATAACTAGCCTTACTGTAGAGATCATTTCTCAATATATCCAAACATCAAATCATTTTGTCATACACCTGAGACCAATATAATGTTACATGTCAATTATATCTCAGCAACAGTCATTTAAAAATCTAAAGTGAAAGGAAGTGCAAATTTTTGTCACAGGAGTTAGCTGGACAATGCCGTCACTGGGAAAACAACAGCGAAGGTGTGGAGGAGGTGAGGAAGGAGTTACCTCCTGCAGGTCCACTGGTGCCGTCTTTCTGGGGAGTCTCCTCGGCCTCGAACCAGCCCTCCGGGGAGCCCAGTCCTTCCCGCAGGCGCCCAGGCTGCTGCTCGGAGCTCAGACACACGTCCATAACCGGAGCCGGCTGGAGAGCAGAACATTGGACAAGACCCGAGTTGCTCAGCCCAGGCTGTCTGAATCTCTCAGAGGGCTCTAAAGGTGCAGCTTATCGCCTTAGCATCTGCTGAGTGGGAAAGAACGCCTGCTTTCCAGCTTAGTCCCCTTGGGAAGCATAGCAGCCACTCACAGAGCTGCCATCCTGATTGTGCAGGCAAAGTGGAGGGAGATCGTTAAACACTACTGAAGGTATTCTCTGTATGGAGAAAGGCAAAAACAGAGCGAATGGAGCCGGGGGCAGGCATAATGTTGCCAGGGTCTAAAGTGTACTTCTGTAGCTTTGGGAACTGAATCTTAACACAGAAAATCTGGTCTAGCAATATGGCCATTGGGAGCACCCCGTGGCCTGAAATATCATGGGCGAGTAGCCAGGATTTGGAGCAAACACAGGGCTGCTCCCTTTTCCTCTGAGGCTTTACTGCAAGACAATAGGGCTGAGAGCCAGGAGCCTGCGTTGTCTCCCCACTCTAACACTTTGCAATTCATCTAATGCCTCCTGGCTATTCCCTGGTCAGCAAAAAGGGGATAAGAATACCGCCTAGGGCTGTGGCAAGAAACAGGAGAGCAAAGGTGATTAGTACAGCACAGGAAAACTCTCCCAGATTCAGAAAAGGGGACCTGGCTGCTAGGATCATAGACTGGTGTCAAAATAATAACATCTGACATCGCTGCAGGATGTATATTGTTGCCAAGCAAGCTGTAGTGCTTTACGTGGATTTATTCATCTAATCCTCCCAACAAACCCTGCAAAGTAGATGCTGTTATTATGCCTCTTCTCAGATGAGAGAAATTCAGGCCCAGATTAATAAGCAGCCCCAGTGGGTGCAGCCGGCCAGTGGCAGAGCCGGGAATCAAACCCGGGTCCAGCTGCAGACTCTGCCTTCTCATACATGAGGCAGGACACCACTTGAGTTGACCCAGGCTTTCCGGGCTTAACTTGCCCTGAAATGACTCATAATGTTTCCCCAACACAGGGACATTTTCTAGTCTTTTTTACAGAATGTGAATGGTTTTTCTTGTTTGCGTTTACCATTCTGTGTTTTCCACCCGCACACGCATTGCCTGTCATCATATTGTTTCAGCCAGCATTGGATAGCAACTAGCCACACCTGCCACACCGGGACAACCGGCTGACCCAGAAACCAACAGGAACCCGGCCATCCAGGCGCTGGCCTACTCCAGCAGCAAACAAAACACAAGAAGGAGCGCCGGCCCCTGACACGAATGCAGTCCCATCCCACCCCTGCAGGCACTGCACGTCCCTCACGTTCATGTGCCACAGGATTTCAAACAAACGAGACTGCTGTGAAAGTAGGTTAACGCTTTCATTGGCTCTTGAATCAAATAAGCAAACATTTACCCCAATTCTCCAACTCCCCAAACCAGCCAAGAGTGCTCTGCTGGTCTGTGCTTTGCAGGAGAAGAGTTTTCTCTTGAAGATACTGACTAGCGCCTTCCTTTCGACTTTCCCGCAATGCCAGGAAGTTTCTCCTAAAAGATAGTAGACTGGTCGCTTATGAGCCCCTAGAGCATCTTCCGTGCAGAAGTCTCAGCGCTGTGGCGAGAAGCCTGCATTTGAACCTTGGCTCTGCCATGCACTGTCTCTGTTGAGAATGGTGACACCCACCTCGAATGTTGGTTGTGGGAGTTGAGAGGAGTAATCTGTGCAAAGACTCACCCTGCAATGTCTACTCTGACTATCCTCTCCGAAGCTAGAGAAGTCGTGACGCACAGCACTCTGTGCTGGCCTCCCTTCCAGCACCACGGAACTCTCAGCATTCAATTTAAGACATTTCTTCCTGTGCATGCAAGCCAAGGAAAATTATTTGCCTTGTGAAATGAAGTGACTCCCTCCCTCATCATTACAGTTGACATGAAAAATCAATTTTTTTCCTAAAAACAGCTGTGCATTGAAAAACAACCTTTCTAGAGAATAACTACAGCAATCTGCCTTGCATTCATTAGTTTGACACCTCATAAGATATATATTATATGTTAGTATTTAAAAAAGAATTGGGAAGTTTTTAAAATGACTCCTTGTTAGTACAAACCCTCAAAATAATTTTGAACTGTTAGTTTAAATGTAACTTTACCTTATGTAGCAGAAGAGATTTGAGATTTCTGTGTACCCTTTAATCCCCAATGTTTTATATAGATCTGCACCTAAAAGGATTAGCATTTTATGAACAAAAGCCAGCCAGTGGAAGACCAAGTTATTTAGGGTAGCATTACCCACCAGTACTCAGACACATTGCTTTGCTAGAATTTCCTCCCTCTCCCTCTCTCTCTCTCTCTCTCAAAATTTCTCTCTCACACATACACGCACACACGATCCTGGCAACATGAAATAGAATCACCCTCAAAAGGTCCAGAAAATCACTCCAGCACAGCAGAGACTGCCCTCTATGGTATCCTGAGATGTCATTTGGAATGTGGACTTACATTTCACTTTTTTAAAAAGTGGGGGTTGGGTAGTTAGGGGTTTTATGGACCTGCAAACTTTATGCTCATCAGCCAGACTCCTGTGGCTAAAGGAAGGGGTGTGCCTGCCGGGGACTGCGTCCTGGACCCTGATTCTAGCGTCCGGAAATAATGTAAGACTCTACCAAGACGGAGCGAAACTTGCAAGGAAGACATGAGAACAGCCTCTACATAAGACGGGACATGAGTAAAGGCTTAAAGTCCCACAAGGGGTGATTAGTAGGGGGCAACAGTGAGTAGGAAACCAGAAAAAATTCTACTAAGGAAAAAGCAAGCTGTTGTGATTTATTTAATAGAAATAGGCGCAGTTAAAAGGGAAAGAGGAAGAGCGTTTATTCATTTTGGAAGCCTGGAACCCCTTAAAATAGAATATGGGACATGTAATTTAAATCCTCAGGCAAATAGGAATTAAATAATCATTCACATTTACGAGGGACTATATTTAACCATTGAGCCGAATGAGCAGTGGTTTAGCTTGAGTGGATGTAAGAGCCCATTTTTGTGCTCATTTTTACCCAACACCGGCACTTCATGTTTGTCTCCTCTCACCCCAGGTGTCTGAGCGGCTGTGCTGCGGCCCTGTGACTGTCGGGGCTTCCTTCCCGCTCCCTGGAGTGGAGGGAGGTGCCCGGAGTCTTTTCCAAGGGCATCATTTGGGCACTTTTATTGTTCCCAAAACGGTTCACTTCTATGATCACGTCCTGCACTTCTGTGACTTATTTCCACCACCTGTAGCCAAAGGTGGTCATCATTACAACTTTTTAACTTTCGAAAAACCGATTGCAATGTATATGAACATATGTATGTACATTCACACACACATCCTGCGAGCTTTAAAAATAAAGATAAGCACAAAGAAGAAATTTTTTAAAACCTCCTTAAATCCCACTATATCTGGAGAAGTCAGCCTGACATTTTCTGGCATCAACTTTTAAGCTTTTTATGGTTTAAACTTAATAAACAGCTATTTTACTGAAAATAAAACTGAAGAGAAACATGTACTCTTTAAACCTAGAATGTACTATTCTATTATTGTAAGAGTTTCTTTGTAATACTTTCTTCAAAAGCCATCTTTCAGGCATCTGCTTAAGAAACAAATCAGAGCTCTATTGTCTGGAACTGGAAGAGGTTAGGTCTGAGGTCCCTAAATATTGGACTATGAGGCGCCACATCAGCACGACCTGGAAGCTCTAAACTGCAGACTCTAGGCCCCTAGAACTTCTGCTCAAAGGCCTGAGGAAGAGCTTAGAAGTTTGAACTCACAGTCCGACACCTGTTCCCCGTGTGTCTGCAGCACTCGGCACATAGTCGGTGTCAATCTATAGGGCAGGGACGCGGGAGCTGCGTTCAGATAGCTGAGGTGCCATCCGTGCGGAGGGATTAAGCCTTTTGCATGGCCCTGCAGGGCACGCCGATGAAGTAAGTTTCCAGGAAGTAGAACTGGGCTCAGTAGGAAAGAACTTTCTAACAAGCAGAACGATGGAACAGTTGATCTCAGGGAGCCTAGCCTAATGGAAAGTGGGCCAGATTTGAAGTCAGAACTTGAAAGATTGGATCAAAGCTTTATGCAAGGTCAGTAAATAAGCCATGTGTGTGAGTCACACGCTCTGCCTTCCCCTTCCTCAGTGTAGACTTCTGATCTATACTGGGCTTTTCCCAGCTGAACCTGGCTCTCTTGGCCCGTGGTTCTCAATATGGAGGAATCCTCCCCTTCTCCCAGGGATATTGGCAATTCAGAGATGTTTTTGCTGGTCACAAGTGGGGTGGCGTGCTATTGGCATCTAGTGCATGGAGACCAGGGATGCTGCTATGTAGTCTAAGTTATACGGGAGAGCCCCCACGACAAAGAGCAGTCTGACCCAAAATGTCAGCAGTGCCGAGGTTGAGAAACCGTGGTGTAGACAATAAATCCAAGTTGTCAAGCAGCGGGAATTCTAACCACCATGCTGCTTATACAGTCTACCAGCCAGGTGAGTCCTGCCTCCTCTGTCTCAGTGTCCTCATTTATAAAGCGGGGTGGGGTAGCATTTCCAGAGTGTCTAATACATGCCGGGTTCAGGACATCTTCCCATAGATCCAGCATGGCAGCCCACGCTCCATCTGCTTTCCTCCAGGAGAACACCCGAGACAGGATTTGAGAGAAATGTTTTATTTGGGAAGTGAGGAAGGGAACATAATCGAGGTTAAGTACATAAGTTAGCAAAGAGTGTTCTGTGAGGCCAGGGGAAAATAAAAACTTAAACCCAGGGGGAAAGGCTGGGAAATGAGGCAAACCATACACTTCAGAATCACTTCATACCAGGTTTAGAGGGCTTCTGGGCTATTTCTACGCAACCATCTCAGCGCAGGCGCAGAGACCAGCAGCTGGAGCACTCAGACGTGTCTGAGAGCTGTGAGGCACGACGGCATCTGCCATGGCCCCATAAAATGTTGCTATTCTTTCACACAACTGCAAGAAGTAAATGAAATGTCATTTATCTGAAGGAATATGCCTGGTGCCTAGAAGGTCATAATCATTGGTAAGCAAATGTCTTGTATTAAATTGCTTGTCATTCAAGTAGAAGGCTAGAGAAATAGTGGTTTTTGCAAGAATTCTGGGTCACTCACCGAATTAAATGGAGACACTGTGTATTGGGGCTTGAAAAATCAAGAGCCCAGGGCTGCTCTGGTCCCAGAAATCTCAGCAGCAGGAATCCGTGGGCTTTTTCATTAAAAGGTGCTGTTAGAGGCCTCAACTGCAGTCACGTTCCAGCCCCGTGTAACTGTGGTCAAGATTTACAATATGGGGGGGAATATTCTGACGATGTAACTTGGTCATAAGTTCAGCCCCACAGTCAGGGTGGGGCCGTGTGAAAAGCACCCGCTGAATCGTGAGGAGTAGGGCCGGCAGCTCAAAGGAGGGAGGCTGTGCCCGTGGAACTTGGGTGAGGTGTGGCTCTCCTCCTCTTCCTGGCCACCCTGTGCATACGCACTTTCTGACTCCGATAAGTGCAGTTTCAAAATGGACACCCATCATCTCTACAATGAATGATAACCTAAACTCTCATCACCTAACGCATCTAGAGAGAATGGACTCATTCTTCTTCAATCCCAAACCTCTAGAATCAGGGGTGTCCAACCTGCAGCCCATGGGCTGCACACAGCCCAGGATGGCTGTGAATGTGGTCCTGCACAAAATCATAAGCTTACTTAAAACCTTATTTTTGCTCACCAGTTTTGATTAGTGTTTGTGCATTTAGCATGTGGCCCAAGACAACTCTTCCCCTTCCAGTGTGGCCCAGAGATGCCAAAATGTTGGACACCACTGCATCATGTCCACTTCTACACTGGTTCTGCTGCTTCTCCCTCCGTAGCCGTGTAATCCCACGTGACCTTGGACTATAACTTAATTGGCTATTTCATCATTGTGTACCATTGACTTTGTTCCCATCCCAGAATATGAGTGAGAGGAGGCTCATTGCTTTCTCACATGTGCTTCTCCAAAAGTTCTGTAAAAGAAGGGTTGCTGATCAGACAAACATAAGAGCTGCCCACCATACTTATTTATAGGGAGACTGGTGGGAATTCACTTCCAGAGAGGTGGGGTTTCATTGAACTGGATGTTCCTTAGTGACCCCAGGAATCACTAGCATTCAAGGATATGTGATTTTCACTCTGTTTTACAGAAACTGTTTGGTCATAGGGAAGTGCAATTCCGCAAGTTCTGGTCCCTCAGTTACCTGGGAACACAGTGGCTCAAGTTCATAATCCTCTCTGTCAAGCGATTCAGGGCTGCTGCAATGCCCCTCACTAGCTGGTCCCTGGGGAAGCCCCACAGAATGCCAGGGGACAGGGCCCACTGATGCTGCCCTGCAGGCGATGGTGTGAAGGTTCAGACCACGCAGTGCTGCAGAAGCATCAGACACAGAAAGCCCGTGCAGCAGAATCGTAAACCGGGACTCTTCTCATCTTGGCTTGGGCTGGTGCGTGAAGACAATGGATTCCGTACTGTGCTAAAGAGAGAGTGTCATCGGAAATTTTAAAGTAGGTGTTCAAGAAAACCATTCAAGCAGCACTTAATTTTTGTCAGGCTTGTGGACAGAAAAGAATTCACATCTGTTTCATTTTAAATGTCCTTTATATAATGACAAATGGTACCAGTGAAGAAGGAAAAAAGAATATGAGTGAAATAATTCGATACATTTGCAAAGAGAAAGTGAAGTGGTAGTCATTTCATTTTAAAAATTGCAGCTGCCAGCGTCCAAGCGTTAGAGCGTGCACTTGGCCACCCGGAGAGGCACGGCTCTCCGCTGTCTTCTGCCTGGTAAAGAGGCTCTGACGAGAAACCAGTGAGCAGCCCTGATGGACTGACTGCACGCATTCAGGAGAAGAGGGGTACTTAGAGGTTTGTTTCTAGTTTTGTTTTTTTCCCAAGCCAGTTCTTAAAACAGATTACCCGTCAAAGAAATTTTATTGTTATTTTAGGAAAACATGCAACTGCAGTCGCTGAAGGTTTGTAGTTGTCGGGGTTCGTGCCATCAAAATGACCAAGAGCGCTCTGCAGCTGAGGCGTCAGCCTCTGGTACTAACCACACAGAGCAAAGTTTAGCTAAAAACCTGATCGAATTCTGATCAAAATGTCTATGA